GCTGTCCTAGAGCATGGTTCTCAGCTCAGGCTGTGTTTGCTACCCTGAGGCTTGGGTTCACTGAACTCACTGGAACCTGTACCCATGACTGCAGGACAGAAACAAATAAGGTTCTGGGGACTAGGAAGGTCTATGCTAGACTGATGGCTCCCAGGCTTTGACTTAAGGGATTTCTTGCTGGACAGGCATGGGGAAAAGAAGGGAGAAGGGCTTTCCTATGGGAGGAAGAAATAGCAGGCCAATAAAATTCAGTTGCTTCGTGTGTTAACTCAGTCACTGTATCGCAGGACCAAAGGATACTGTGAGGCCGTGACTCAGTGACCTCATTCTGGCTGTCCAGAGAGGCACGCAGAACATCTGCACCCAAGTTCTTCACTTGCCCCATGTAGAGGGAGGAGCATCACAGCCTAGTAAGGAATTTTACCCCAGACCTCACCCTGGTTCTGGGAATGTGGGAGGTTACAGGAACAGTCTGTGTGTGGGACAGTTGGGAGAAGGATCCATGTTGTAGGATTTCAACGCCTGCATTGTTCTGTGTCCCCAGGAGTTAGAAATTCTATGTCAGAACTGTCATGCCCAGCTGTGGGCATGGAAGACATCTCTGTGTCTGTCTTTCCTTCTCTGGGAAGAGGGCTCTCTCCCTCTCCTGCGTGCCTACCATGCTTGTGACACCAGGCCATAGATTTATGGCAAAAGGTAGTTTGTGGAGAAGGAAGACAGGCAGAGAGAGAGGCTGGCCAGCACTGGCCAGGGGTGACCAGTGGCCTGTGAAGGTCAGCTGCCCCGGTATTTTGTCTCTGCTTCTCCTGTTTCCCTGTGGTTCGTGATGCAGTCGGCATGACTACAAGAGTTTGGTCTTTTTACCCGGGACTGCATGTTCCTGTGTCTGTATGTAGCCTTCACAGCCTTTACAAGGTGGCGTGACTGTGGATGTGGATTTGAAATAGAATGCTTGCTTAGCACAAGTGAGGCCCCTGGGTTTGGTTCCTAGAACTCTGAGTAAACTAATAATCAAGTAGTCAACAGACATTTGGTGTAGTAGACATACCGTAATTCACCTAATTATTGGCAAGTGCAATAATTGCAGAATCCTCCCAGCCTCCTGGAAGCTGCTCGATGGTTTGCTCTCATTAGCAGCACAGGGCGCAGTCTATTTCTGTTACTTTTTGTTTTGGTTTGCTATTTTCAGGTTTACTCATCTTTTTTTTTTCCTGTACGAGTATTCTGCCTGCATGCATATAAGTGCACCATGCGTGGGCAGTGGCCAGAGAGGCTAGATCCCCACGGTGGGCACTGGAGCCCTTGGAATGGAGTTACAGATGGTAGGTGGCCGCTGGGAACTGAATCCAGGTCTGCTGCAAGAGCAGCCAGCTCTACCTGAGCATCTGTCCAGCCCCAGTGCTTTATCTTTAAGACAACCACCTCTGTGTTTTGTTTGTTTGTTTGTTTGTTGAGATGAGGTGAGGTCTCTTATAACCCAGATGGCCTTGAACTCTGGAGTTCTGGGGTCACAAGTGTCATGGTCACACCCAGTGTCACCAGCATCACCTGCTTTTCTTCACTTTTTTTTTCTTTTTCTGAAATGCCATGTGAATTTAATCACACAGAATCTAGTCTTGTGAGCCTGACTTGTGTACATGGTAATTCTGATCCTTCTGATGCCTCCGGTGCTATGAGTGGTTGTAAGTCACTGGCTGGCTTGGCTGTGTGGTGTGTACTTTCCTGGCTTCCACTCTGGGGCTTTTAGGAAAGCTCCCTGTGAACATGTGTGTACTAGCCTCTCTGTGACAGACAGTCACCTCATTTGCTAGTTGAATGTAGGCTGACAGGACTGAGTCAAGACAGCTTTATAAGCATCTGATATCTCTCTCTCTCTTTCTCTCTCTCTCTCTCTCAATCTCTCTCTCTCTCTCTCTCTCTCTCTCTCTCTCTCTCTCTCTGTCTGTCTGTCTGTCTTTTGTTTTTTTCGAGACAGGGTTTCTCTGTGTAGCCCTGGAGCCCTGGCTATCCTGGAACTCACTCTGTAGACCAGGCTGGCCTTGAACTCAGAAATCCGCCTGCCTCTGCCTCCTAAGTGCTGGAATTAAAGGCGTGCACCACCACGCTAGCCCTGACTAGCATCTGACATTTCTAAGAAGGCAAATTTGTTCCTTTAAAAATACCATTCAGGAGACTGGAGAAATGGTTCAACCAGTAAGAACACAAGCAGCGCTTACAGAGGACCCGAGTTCAAGTCCCAGACCCCATGTGGTGGCTCAGAGATGGCTATAACTTTAGTCCAAAGGATCTGATATCCTCTCTGGCTTCTCTGGGCACCAGGCACACCAGGCATAACAAATAGAATAAAATAAAAATGCCATTTAGGCCAGGCATGCTGGCTCACATTGCTAATCCCCAGCACTTGAGGGGTGAGATAGGAGGGTTCCCCATTAAAGAGACAAGTAGGGTGGGGAGATGCCTGAGTGCATCAGGACACTTGCTGTCAAAGCCTGGTGGCCTGAGTGGTTCCCTCCCCCACCCCCAGAGCCCACACAGTGAAAGAAGAGAGCCGGCTCCCACACACACCCCAGCATGATAGACACGTGCTCATACACATAAATAAATACACATACAAATAAATAAGAGTTAAGAAAAAGACGAGTAATACAGAAGGGTAGAAAAAGGGACCCAGGGACCCGACATCATAAATAAAGGTTAGGTTTAAAGATTTCTTTCATGATTTTCAGTTGTGTGTTTGTGCATGGGAATGCAGGTGCCCACAGAGGCCAGAAGAGGGCGCTGGGTCCCCTGGAGTTGGATGGTTAGCTGATTCTTGTGGGTCAAACCCCAGTCCTCTGAAGAGCCATTGCTTCAGCTCCACTGTTGAAGTATGTGGAATAGGGATGATGGGACCTGCCTGGCCCCTGCCAGTCCCTTCCCTGAATAAAGGCCTTTCCAGCTTCTGCTGCTGGTGCCCTGGACCTGCCAGCAGTCTGCCCACTCATCATCTGTGGCCGGTTCCTTTTCAACCAGTTGCTAAGCACAGGGTTTCCAAGGCCTGAGTGTGGCTGTCTGGAAGATGAGTCTCCAGCTCTGGGACCTTGGGCACATCCTTGAGCCTGTTCTGTAAAATGAGGTGGGGACATTTGAGTGACAGGATTTACTCTAACAGTCCGCACGGGTTCTTTGCCTAACTCTTTTGTAGTTAAGGTCTTTGCCATGGTCTTGTTGATGGTTTGAATTGGCTGGATGCCCTAGAAGCCGCTGCCAGGTGGCCCTTTGTGGTTTTGGGGATGGAGCCCCTTACCTTGCCCATGCTCAGCAAGTGCCTAGCCTTAAGTCTCATCCCTCAAGTCGCACAGCAGTGTGTATTCAAGAGGAAGGGCAGTGCTTTCCTCTGTGACTAACACTTGTGAACTGCATGGCTGAGACATGGCCAGGATGAAAGTCACAGGTCCCTGCTTGTCAGGCAGGCCAGAGAAGTTTTTGCTTTATCTCACAGTGTGTACATAGTTGGACATTGCAGGATGCCAAAGGGTGGCAGGAATTTCCAGTGCTGGTGGATGTGCCTACTCTGTGCTGTGAGCCTGCCCCCACCTTCACTGGAGGCTGGCAAGGAGTACTGCCCCTCATCCTGACTCTGACCCCTCCTGCTGACCATGCGTCCCGCCAGGCAGGAGTGGGTGGACCACACACTGCTGCCAGAAGGCAGAGGCTCTGTGGTGTGGCTGGCGCCTTCTGCTTCCCATCAGCCCCTGGTCTGGCCACTGACTACCTCTGAGGAGGTGACTACCTCTGAGGAGGTGACTACCTCTGAGGAGGTGACTACCTCTGAGGAGGTGACTACCTCTGAGGAGGTGACTACCTCTGAGGAGGTGGAGGGTGTCCTACCAGGTAGATCTTCCCTTCAGAAGCAAGGCAGTAGGGCTAAGTCTCTATGGTTCCTGGGAAATGGAGAAAGAAGGAAACTCGGGAGTTTAAGGAGTTGAGCAGCACAGGGTGATAATCCATCTAGGGCAGCGGCTCTCAGCCTTCCTGACGCTGTGGCCCTTTAATACGGTCCTCATGCTGCGGTGACGCCAACCGTATTATTCTTGTTTCTACTTCGTAACTGTAATTTGCTACTGTTTTAAATCATGATATTTTAAATCTGTGTTTTCCAATGGTCTAGGAGACTCCTGGGAAAAGGTTTTTCAGCCCTCAAAGGGGTTGTGACCCACAGGTTAAGAACCACTGATCTAGACAGGTGGGAGGGCTAGGGAGGAAGTCCATGTTTGCTGACCTGCTTTGTGCCAGGCGCTGGCTATTCCAGCTGGGAGCCATTCATCTTCCTGTAGCTGAAGGGAGCCTGTGGCTCAGGAGCTTAGCCACTTGGCCTCTGAAGAGGAAACCCAGATTTTCCTTACCAAAACTAGTGTGTGTGTGTGGGGGGGGGGTTCCCCTTCTTTCTGGTACAGAAAACGAATTCACATTTTATTCATCATGCAGAAATACCATTTTAAATAAAAAGTTTGAAGTAATCAAATGGGAATCAATCTGGCATCCTCTCAGGGCCTTCCTGCCTGCAGCTAAGATCCGCCTGCTGGCCCTTTAAGTCGGGTTCTCCTTGGGATTGCCGCAGCCTGAGGGGGAGGGCTAGGGATGTCTGCGGTGAAGATTTCCCCAGCAAAGCCTTTCTCCTTGCAGCCTAGCCAGCCAGCCAGTGATGTCCTCACAGCTCCTAGATTTTCCTTTTCCCCAGGAGCTGCTGATTCATCCCCTGGATGAAGTCAGCTCAGCTGCTGGGAGCCTGGTAGCCCTGGCTCTCAGGCTGCCGCTGGGTGGAGTCCTACTCTAGAAAGGCATCCCCAGCCTCTGTGATGTTCATGGGTGGGGGTGGGAGGCACCAAGGGAGAAGGGGTAGCACATCCCAGCCCTGTCAAATCTCTGACCAGAAATGCAGGTGGGGAGGACCAGACTTGGCCAAGGTCAGAGCCAGGGCCAACAGGGCCCCCTCTCACTCCTCTGGCTCTGTCCTGTAGGTTGCTTCAAGGATGACCGCATCGCCTTCTGGACCTGGATGTTCTCCACCTACTTCATGGAGAAGCTGGCTCCCCGGCAGGACGACATGCTTTTCTACGTGCGCAGGAAGCGAGCCTACCCAGCCAGTGAGAGCACTGTCGATGGAAGGAAGGTGGGTGACCCCTCTCCCCTGCCTCCCCTCCCCCACAATCCTGTACCACACCTGTGCCCTGAACCTCCCACAGGGCCTCCTTCCCTCCTGCAGCATTCAAGCTTCAGGGGAAAACCAGAACTGAGCAGCCAGCACTTTTGTCTTTGCCATGACCCCAAAAGGCAGTGGTTGTGGCTTTGAGGAAACAGAAGCTCCAGGCTCTGCTGTTGTGGCCAGCCTCTTACAGCGAGTGAGTGAATGGAGGGTCAGGGCTTTGATCCCCAAGTCCAGGGCACTCCCCAGAGTGGGCAGGGACGTGGGTGGATGGTAGGATTGGTGATGCTGGCGATGACTGCCCTTCTCTGGCTTTTACTATAAACTAGGGAATCACTCAGGCCTCTGCTTAGTCTCTGGAACTCCCAGCAACCGGTCAGCTAGACAGATGAGGAAAGGGACTGAGAGGTGAAGCGAGTCACCCAGGGCACTTCATGTGGTCGTGTGTGGAGTTCTTGAGACAGATTTTTGCATGTGTTCACTTTTCAGAAGTTTTAGTGTCTTATAGAATGTTTAAGTGGTCCACATGTTAGACATGGGGACACTTTGTTTACCTTCAAGGACAGAGTGCTCAGCTGTGAGACGTCTGGGACTTACAGCCTGTCTGTGGCTATGCTCCCCAAGAGCCCTGAGACCCAGGTTCCAAGGCCTCTTAGTTATGGCACACACACACGAGTCCTGGGAGCCCTTCCTGCCACACAGCTGCACATCTACAGAATGCATTTGTTGTGAGTGGACACACCTGGATGCTTGCTGCAAAGGAGGCCTTTAACGCTTTGTTTGCTGGGCTAACGTGGGAGGGGCCAGCAGGAGCCCATGGACCACTGGCCAGGGAGAAGAGCCAGAGGAGTGTGAGACCTGGAGAGGCGGATGATGCTGTACCAGGGCCCAGGAGTGACAGGCAGTGGGCAGAGCAGGAGATGCTCTGTGGGAGAGCTAAAGCTGAGGCCTGATTGGTGGGTCCAGCTCTTGCTAGTGGTACCAATGAGAGGCAGGAACCTTCTCAAGAGGGAGGCTAGCCTTGGGCTCGTCAGTCCTGCCTCCTACACCCTTCCTGTCTGAAATGCAGTTCCAGTCCAGCTACTCTCCTTGATCAGTATTACAGCTGTGGCCCAGACTCAGATATCTCTGAGACTCGGAACAGATGGTCTGTAAGGGCTGAGCCCCTGTTAGATACATGGAGGATGGGCTGTTTGGGGTTGATGTGACCAGAGGTGACGTTAGCAGGGAGGGATGGGTGCCAGGGAGCCTCTGTGTGCTGGTGAAGTAGTGTGCTCTGTGTGATGGGTGTGACCGCTGCGTTCACCCGATGTTTAACTCAGGATGAAGGCCCCTGGAGCAGCAGGACTGTGGACCTCACCTCTGGCTCCAGAGGCTCCATCCTGTCAGTCTCAGGACAGAGTCACATGAGTCACTGTCTTTAGGGTGGATCCTGTGTGGCAGATCTGGGAGAGATCAGGATGTGGGGGACAGGCTTGTGTGTACTGTGTGGCTGGCTGGAGGGGAACGAGACACATAGGTGATAGCATCTGGGTGGAAGAGAAGTGCAGCAGGAGCGCTCCTTGGGAGATGCAGCCTGGGCCCACCTGGAGGAGTACAGCGGCAGGGCCCTGGGGCTGTGTTGAGGCACTTATCAACATTTAGTGGGTGTTGAGTTCAGTGGAGCCAGTGTGAACCTAACAGGAGCACTGAGTAACAGCCACATGGAAATGGCTCTTTCCCCAACACGGACACAGACATGACTCAGGCTGGCCACTGTCTTTGGGAAGTCCTTACTGGGCAGACAGACAGCATCATATAGTGGGGACGACGAAAGAGGTGGCATCTGTATACAGGGTTGTAGGACACCCGCACTGAAGATATACCTTGGAACGGGTATAGGACTTGCATGGTGGGGGAGGGACACCTGGCTCATTTGACCCAGGCTATAACTTGAGTGAGTAACAGTTTGTGACAGTGCCAGCAGAGCACCGTGACCTCAGAGTGATAAGTGACAGGAGAAAGGTTATCAAGCGTCAATGGACTGAGACCAAGAATAACTAGTCTTTCTGCTCAGATGGCTTTACATAGGTGTTGGGAAGTGGGGACCCCTCCTTTCTCCACCTCCCATCCTATTTATGGCTGGTTGGCCTCCCGCACTTCTGAATGGATCCTGGGGGACTGGATGATATCTGGTACAGGACCTGGAGAGTCAGGCCTGGGATCAGGCAAAGCTCACGCCCACCCATACTGGACATATTTTCCAGCCCGGCAGTCTACAGTATGTCCTGAAGGGGGCAGAGTGGAGGTGCAGCCAAGAACCCCAACCCACCAAGAATCAAGATCCCAGGGCTGCTGAGATGTGGACTCTAGCGTCTGCGCACTAGGAGTGTTCTGCAGCACAGACCGCCTCCTACCCTTTCCCATCCTGCTAGTACTGGTTGTCATGGCAACCCTCTAGGCTCCTTGCCTAGCAGAGGAGGGTGGGTGGGCAGAGCCAGAACTGCAGTGTGGGTGGGCACGGAGTGCTGGAGTTCCCATGCCCTGCTCCAGAATCACCTTGGGCATCTAGACCTGGTTTCACCACTGTGTCCTGGATTCTCTGCACCATCTCCTCATGCCACCCCTGGACAAAAACACTCCCTGTTCTCAGAAGCCCATTTTGCCTTGGTGTTGTGGACACTGGCATCAGTTTGTGTCCTCGTCTATGTTGGTGGCCTCCTATTGACACCTTCAGCAGTCCTGGGGTACAGATTGCACCAAACCCACTTGGAAAACCGGAACTCAGGAGCCATGAGGGTCCTTGGCTGGTCCCACACCATCTAGTCTCCTGTTTTCTTCTTTGGTAGCTTTCTTTTGTGCATGAGTCAGAATCTCACTGCGTAGCCCTGGCTGTCCTGGAACTCCAAGTAGACCAGGTTGGTCTCAAACTCAGAGATCTGACGGCCTCTGTCTCCTGAGTCCTAGGATTAAAGGTGTGGGCCACCACACTCAGCTGGTAGCTTTTCTTGATTGTGATATACATGCAAAGGTGCCCAGGTTGGTGGCCTTTTGTCTGAGTATTGGGGTCACCAGCCCTCAGACCCAGAGACCCAGCCTGACCAGTGTGGTCAAGGGGCCTTGGCCTGTAGCATCAGGTGGGTCATCCCCGTCTGAGCCAACATGCAGAGCTGCAGTGTGTCTTCCAACTGCGTTTCAGTCATTTATTTGGTATGGTGCCTGTTGACATAGACGGCTGTGCTTTGTCAGTCTGGCTGCTGTGTGCTGTTTCCGAGTGTACACGCCACCCACCTGCACACCTGTGTGTGGGTGTCTGAGCAGTTCCCTGTGTATTTTGGTACTACATGGAGCCACCTATGGCTACCCTGCTGACCTACCTACCACAGGCTGCAGTTGTGCCCTAGGCATTCCCCACCCTGCATTGAGCCAGGAGCAGATAGCTGAGCCTGTGAGGGCTCTCCTGCGGGAGTAAACAAGATGCGTGTTAGGCGTGGAGCAACCAATCGGAGAGGTGGAGTGTGACCAAGGCAGGCAGCGTGGTGGCTCCCAACTGAGTTTGGGTGACTCCCACAGAAACAGACAGTGGAGGGTAGGAGTCCCACCCCTGTGGTATATCCTATCTTGCTGAGGCATCTCTGTGTGGATCCCAGCTCTTCCTTAGGTACAGACTCACGCACACACATAGACACACACACAGGTCCGTGTCCCTGCAGGTGGCCCCAGATGCCCAGCAGGAGGTGACTGTTGCCTCTTAGAGTAGAACCTGCAGGATCCCTCCTGGGCCTAGTTAGGACCCTGGGCTCAGGACCCTTACAGGACAGGCTGCTTCTGACTTCTTAATGCCGATCCTGCCTGGAGTAGGGGTAGATGGGGCTCTGGTCTCTCTTTGATGAGTGAGTAGTATGTGGTTTGTAGCTTGTTTGACCCTCATCAGTTACAAAGGGATTAATGGTGCCTTCCTTGCAGATAAAAGGTTAATCGTTTGTAAAACATGTAGACTAGTTTCTCCTGCTCACTGTGAGCTCAGCAGACATGACTATCATTGGGAACTTGGGAAATATGGTCTTAATTTTCACAACTTTGAGAGGAAAATGCTTTTTCTATCGTACAGATTAGACAACTAGGGTTCCAAGGAAAAGAGAGACGATTCTAGGGACGGGGTGTGTGTGTCATCCTGGTGGAGTGATCAGGGAGCAGGAGGCCCCTAGAGTCTCACTTGTGTCCTGTGCCACAGGCTGAGGCTGAGCCTGAGGTGGAGGTGGAAGTGTACCGGAGAGACTCTAAGAAGCTTCCGGGCCTGGGAGACCCTGACATCGACTGGGAGGAGAGCGTCTGCCTGAACCTCATCCTGCAGAAGGTATGGCATGGGTGATGAGGGCTGCTCATGGGACCGGGAGACGGCAGTCCCCATCGGCCCCCACTGACAGCGTTTCCTTCCAGCTGGACTACATGGTGACCTGCGCGGTGTGCACGCGTGCCGACGGGGGTGACATCCACATCCATAGGAAGAAATCCCAGGTGAGCCCCTACCTCCTGCTGGTGGTCCAGATGCTCCAGTGACCTGCCACCTATTCTATAAAGACATCCTGCTTTCCCACCCCAAAGTGAGGGTTGACTCTATAAGGGTTTCGGTCCTGTGAGTATGTGCGCCCAGCTCCCCTCATGGCTCCTGTAGAGCGAGTGCATCCTTGGTTTTGGACTGATTGAGCACTGAGGGCCCCTGGCCCGTTTCTGTGGTAGCTCTAGGCCTCCATCCAGGCCAGCTTCTCAAGCCTTCTGTCTGCTTTCTTTTAGCAAGTGTTTGCCTCCCCCAGCAAACACCCCATGGACAGCAAAGGGGAAGAGTCCAAGATGAGCTACCCCAACATCTTCTTCATGATTGACAGCTTTGAGGAGGTGAGTGCTCACCACGGGCTGCTCTCCCCTTCCTCTCCTCTTGGGCCCAGGCTGAGGACCTACAAAGCCTCCTGGGAGACATAGGCATTGGGAACAGGGAAGAATCTGGATGACAGCCCGTGGGGCTCCCCACTTCAGTGATTGACATGGACAAGCGTGTGCTTGCTCTAAGCCTAGGTTTACTCATCTGTCCAGTGAGTGTCATGACCTTGTGACCTACTTAGGTGTCAGAGTTGATGACCTAGTGAGTGGGACTGACTAATTCACTGATGCCAGGCTTCTCAGCCAAGGCTGATGTGGTGTGTGTGTTGTGTATGTATGTGTGGTGTATGTGATACGAGTATATATGTGTGTGTGGTGTGTGTGTAGGTATGTGATATGTGTGTGGGTGTGTAGTGTGTATGCATGCTGGGGATCCTGGTGCTTGCCCAGAGACAGCCATTGTTCTTGGAAGTCCCATGAATGTGGGCAGGCATGGTTCTCAGGGCCCCCACAGGTGTGGTGTCTGGAAATACCTGAGGCTCAGGACGTGAGGTGGTCCCCTGGGCTCACACTGCACGTTTGTTTGCTCTGAGTCTCTCACCTTGAAGCTTACACCTGGGTGTCAGATACTGGAACACAGCTCAGAAAGGCAGCAGGATGTAGTCACACTGCCTGTGTCTAGTTGGTGTTATCCCAGGAAGGCAGTTACATTAGTTTTGGACAGCCAAGTCGGAACAAGGTGGGCTTGACTGGGCCGTGGTGAAGGAGCTCAAGTGTCCCCATAGTCCTTGTAGCTTGAACGACATTAGGAAGTCAGATGAGGGTCTAGCCAGTGGCTCCGTGTGGGGCGGCGTCTCTTCCTCCAGTCCCAGCTCCCGGCTACTACACGCCCTGCCCTACCATGAGGCTGTTCCTACCTGTGGCAAGGGTGGAGGGTGGGGTGGTGGACAGTGGGTGACTGTGGGCCGGTGCCTGACTTCTTCTCTGTGTCCTTGTCTGTATGTGGTCCCCTTTCTCCTCCCCGATCTCTTCCTCCTCTTTTTCTTCCCAGCTCTCTGTCTTGAGACTTTTAACCCTAGCTATCTCAGGCTGACTTCAACATCTTGACCCTTCTGCCCTGGCCTCTCTAGCACCAGGATTACAGGTTGCCCCACGCTCGGTGATTAGTGCCCTCCCCCTCAGCCAGGTCAGGGTATGGTTTGGGTGGTGGCACTGTCGTTTGCCGTTTGACATCTCCATCTCTTCGTCCTTGCCCTCAGGTGTTCAGTGACATGACAGTGGGGGAAGGAGAGATGGTCTGTGTTGAGCTGGTGGCCAGTGACAAGACCAACACGTTCCAGGGTGTCATCTTTCAGGGCTCCATCCGCTACGAGGCGCTCAAGAAGGTGTATGACAACCGCGTGAGTGCAGGGCCACCTAGGGTTGTGCGTCCTCCCCAAGGCCTCTGTTGATGAGCCCACCCCACATCAGGGAACCTGCTACTCCTGCAGCCACTCCTGGGGGCCCACAGCCTCTCTTACGTTCTCTCTTTCATCCCAGACACCTGTGTCCATCTCAGGTGCAGGTGGGGAGTCCTCCTTCCTCCAGTGTCCCTGTGAGGTGCCAGCCAGTGGCACATTGGCTCTCCTTTGCCCCCAGCCCCCTGCTGTCTGTGGCCTGGTACTGGAGACACTCCCCAAACTAATCACTGACTAATCGCAAAGGGAGTCTTGGTACTCTGACCACTCCTCCAGCCGGTGCTGTCCGGTCTGAGGTGGGGCAGCAGCCTGTTGTTAAGGCCCTGGCCTGTAGCATGGGTACAAGGGCAGTGATACAGCCTTGGCCAGGGATCTGGAGCACATGCCATACTGGACTGCCTGTTGGGCTCACTGGGTTCCCTGTGGCTTAGGCTCCTCAAGATGGCCTCAGAGATGGTAATACTGTGTCTTAAGAGAGAGGACCTGTGAAGTCAGTCCCACGGTTCTGACTGAGGCCATGTCCTACCTGCCATAGGTGAGTGTGGCAGCTCGAATGGCCCAGAAGATGTCATTTGGCTTCTACAAGTACAACAACATGGAGTTTGTGCGCATGAAGGGGCCTCAGGGCAAAGGCCATGCAGAGATGGCAGTCAGCCGAGTGTCTACTGGGGACACATCCCCCTGTGGGACCGAAGATTCAAGCCCAGCTTCGCCCATGCATGAGCGGGTAAGGGCTGCAGGGCTGGGGGAGGGGCTTCCTGTCCCTTGGGTTGACTTCCGATGGCTCCCTCACCCCACAGACCCCAGGTGAGGGAGACCTAGCTGGCTGACCTCCACTGCTGATGTGGAGGCTGAGGCTCAGAGAGGGGGGTGCCTTGTTTGAGGACACCCAGCAAGTTCACACCCAACCATGGCTGATTCCCTGAGCTGCTGCTGCCTGGGGCCAAATCTTAGGGCCTGAGAGCAGAAGAAATTGACTAAGATCTGGGCCTGGTGCCTGCCTGCATGGATTTGCTGGGCAGCTGTGACCACATAAGCCAGATAGGGACAAGGAAAAGCTGACCCCCGTGTTGTCACCCAAGGACAACAGCAAGCACATGACTGGCTTTGGGCCTGCTCATTTGTCTAGGGCATCCTGTCTGTTAGCAGCCTTCCAAGGGCATGTGGACGGATTCTGTTCCTGCTGCAGCTCTGAGGGCCCAGCATAGGACCGCAAGCTTTGCTTTCTCTGAATCTCTCATTGCCTAGTGGGGAGCCGAGTTCAGTGGCCATGGAGAGACCCCAGGCTCGGGCGTGAGAAGGGCTCTGCCTGTAGGGTCAGTGTTCCAATGCCACTCAGAGTGGTCTGTGAATCAGTCAGCCCTTGTCCCAGAGACTGGCTGGCCGCATTCCGGGCTCTGCTGCTCAGGTGACCACCTTGGACGAGTCTCTTTCTCTCTAAGCTTCTATTTCTCATTGAGACGTGAAGCATGAACCTGCTTCCTGCAATGTAGGGGCCCCAGGCGCACTGCTCATGACTTAATGCCTTGCACGGGGCTTGGCCCTGTGAGGTGTCCCAAGTGGCAGCTACAGTGGTTCCTTCTGCGTCTGATGAGAAGTGACGCAAAGCAGACAGTGCCTGACCGGCTGTTGGTTGTGTTAGCTTCTGGGCGCCTCCTTTTCTTTCTTTTGGAATCATTTACAGTTAGTGTGTTTTATAAGCCAAACAAAACCAAGAAGTGCTGGGGTTTTGTAAAGTGTTGAGCACTTCAGGAAGGGCTCTCTTGCTTTTGGAGTAGAGGCAGCTTGGATTCCGAGAGCCCAGGTGACAGCCAGATTGTGCGCAGTTCTGTAGGGTACTCGGATGATGACGTGCATATGCAGATATGGCCCGGGCTGACACTACTTGGGCGCTGTCTGCCGAGTGCCCACAGATCAGTCCCTAGACTCACTCACCCACACCTCAGTTTTCCTCATCTGCCAAGTGGGAATGGCCAGGGGCGATGGGATGGCCCTAACCATACCCTTCATGGCAGAGAGGTTGAGGAGCCCTGGAGTTGTGAGGTCATGCAGAACCCGCACCCACAGCCCGTGTACGCACTGTTGCTTGTCTTGTCCTCAGGGGTCACTTGTAACCAGTGTACAAGAAATGCAGACTGTGTGTATTGTGGTTTCTGGTATTTGTTTTTTTATCTTTTGAAAACTTCCCTGACTTGAGGGAGGACCGTCTGGAGCCCAGCAGCCGCCGGACTTTGGTGGATGTCGGAGCTATGACGGGGAAGCTGATGGGGCCCCGAAGTCTCAGTCTCAGCTCATCTTGCTGCTCTGATTCTTGTTTGCGTGGGGAGGAGGGAGGGGATGGGCCAAGTTCCCTATGCCTGGAACGCCCTTCCCCCCCTTCTTCACCTGGCGAACTCCTACTCGTCCTTCAAGACCCAGCTCAAGCGGCAACCTCCTCCAGGAAGCCTACTCTGATTTCACAGGCTGTCTGTCCCTTCTTCCAATGTGCTTCCATGTCCTGTGCTTCCCTTTCTGTCTCAGCGACCAGCATGCATTCTGTGGTTGTCACTAGAGTCTGTCACCCCCAGCAGACTGTGAGCTCCTTGAGGGCAAGGGACCTATGTCTTGTGCCTGTCTGTGCCTGGCTCACCCTCCAGTGAGTGTGGAGATTGTTGGTGGCTGGGACTGAATGTGCTTGGAAGGGAGGAGAGAGACAGGCAGAGAGCGGCTTAGCCTGGGCACGCGTGAGAGGGGCTGGGTGCAAGAGGGAAGGGCCCAGGGGTTGGCCTGGGGTGTCGTCCCGGTGGCTTTAGGCTTTTAGGCTTAGTCAAGGCTCCTGCTTGTGTGCGCTCTCTGCTCAGATGTCAGATATGCATCATGGGCCACTGTGGGGGCAGGGCTGTCCTTAAGCCACACCAGCAGCCCGTCCACTGGCATTTGAACAGCCCCTCTTTTGTGCTGAGATGTGGAAGAGGGGCCTCTGTGTCAGGGTTGTTGGCAGCCTGCTCCCGCCTTAGGCAGGACTGGTTGCTGGGCATGTGGCTAGTTTCCAGTGCCCGGCGTCCCCTCAGCCAGGACAGATGATGCTCCTGCTTGGGCTGGCTCTGTAGGCGGGATCCAAGTGGCACTGGGGCCTCACGGCAGAGTCTGTCCCTGCCACTCTTGTGACTTGGGCTCCTTGTTCCCAGGTGACCTCCTTTAGCACCCCGCCCACCCCAGAGCGAAACAACCGGCCTGCCTTCTTCTCCCCGTCCCTCAAGAGGAAGGTGCCACGGAACCGCATTGCAGAGATGAAGAAATCACACTCTGCCAACGACAGCGAGGAGTTCTTCCGGGAGGACGACGGTGGAGGTGCTGGCCTTCCCCTTTGTGCTCCTGCAGAGGAGTGGCCCGTGCTCTGGGTTACACTCCCCATCCACATGGTCACTGGTCCGAGTGGTCACTCATCTGTGTGGTCACTCGCCCGTGTGGTCACTGGTCCTGGCAGTCACTCTCTCACCCTGTGGTACATAGAGAGCCACACACACCAAGTGTTGAGTGCTGGTCCCAGGGCTGTGGCTAAGCTGTGTATAGATGGGCCAGGGGCCTGCCTCTGAGAGTCCTGTTCTCAGGCTGTCCACCCACCTCATGTTCAGGGGCTCTGTTGTTCCTCTTCTGCTTCTTGGGCCAGCTTTGCTCATTCTAGAACCTTCTATCCTGGGTAAACCTCACAGCTTCTCTGTTGCCTCTGTCTCCTGGTCTCCCTTGGGTCACCAGGCTCACAGATCCTTCGCTGGGCCCACCCCCCTTGCTTCCACCCACTCACCTTCCTTCCCAGTGGTTGGCATCACTCACTGACAGTGGGTTGTGCAGCTGTGGGACAGGACTCCTCAGTCATGACCAGGGAAGCAGGGTTGGTGGGCAGTCTGGCCATTCTGTCAGTCCTGTGGAAAGTGGGGATCAGAGGTGTCTCTCAGAACTGAGTTGAGAGTTTCTTGGGGGGAATTTCCAGCATCCCTCACCATCCTCACCACGAGCCTGTACATGCCAGTTCATGTGCGCGCTGAGTGGACGGAGGAGGGAAGGCTTCCCTGGGGTGAACCCTGGGTGCTCTCTGGCCAGGCCCAGTAGAGGTGGGCCCTGGCAGACAGGAGGTCTGAAGGCCCGGAAGCAGGGCTCTGGGGGGTGTGGGCATTGGTGAGGACCATCTGTGAGCATGGCATCAGTCTAGAGGAGTTACAATGTTTTGTTGCCACCTCCCCATGCTCCCTGGCCCACACTGGGGTACTGACCCTCTCCTCTCCTTTTCAGCCGATCTGCACAATGCCACCAATCTGCGGTCTCGGTCCCTGTCCGGCACAGGCCGGTCCCTGGTCGGGTCCTGGCTGAAGCTAAACAGAGCTGATGGAAACTTCCTTCTCTATGCACACCTGACCTATGTCACTTTGCCACTGCATCGGATCTTAACAGGTACACAGGAGCAGAGCCCTGCAGAGCCCCCGGTGCAGGCAGCAGCAGGATGGAGTTTCCATGGCCAGTGGCTTCCCTCCACGTGTGTCCCAGTAGTCCTCACTGGCCTCTGAGTGGTCCCAATTAGGTGTTGCCTCTGGGGTCTCTCTGGGGGTCTTGTTTTTCTTGGCCTCTGCACCTGTGCTTCTCCATTGCTGGCATGGGAGGGTAGGGTGGTGATGGTGTCTGCGTCCTGTGAGGTCCTATCAGAAGTGTGTGTGTGTGTGTGTGTGTGTGTGTGTGATAGCTGAGGCTCCTCCCAAGAGTGTCCTCACCCCTCCTGCCTCCCTCCTGTCACCCTAGACATCCTGGAAGTACGGCAGAAACCCATCTTGATGACCTAGTGTGTGTGGAGCCTGCATGGAGCCCCGGCCCTGCCTGGCCCTGGGAATGCTGCCAAGTGCCTACCTGTCACCGCCAACCGGGGTCTTCTGTGACAAGCCAGCACCGGAGCTACAGCCAGGCAGGGCCACTCGACTCCCGGGGCCAGGGCCGACTCCATGAACACCAGCCCAAACTGAAGTGCCTCGTCGTCCTCCCTCGCTGGCTCTGCTCCCACCCTGTGCCCACGCTCAGCCCCCTTGGCCTATCTCAGAGAGCTTTCTGCTCCCAAAGAGGGCCAGAGATGCCAAGAGATCATAGAGGGCGTGAGGGGTTGCCAGCTTCCAGAATGTTCTTAGACCTTGACCTTGGCTCCCGTATCCCTGCTGGGGCTCTGTGCCAGGCCACTGTCTGCGCATCCTACACAAAGCCAGTTGAAGATTTTGTAATGCAGTACTGACGAACTTCAGCTCAAGAGTCGGTCCCAACTTGTTCTCCCATAGTTCTTGTCACAGTAGGTCCCAGCTGGGGGTCAGGGAACATGAGCTGTTTGTCGGCTGGGAATACCTCGCCCTATGCCCAACTCCAGAATGGGTCACAACCTCCAGCTGGGCAGACAGGCTCCGATCCCCCAGAATGGCCTTTGCTTCCATCCAAAGAACACCGCCAACACACACACCTCCGACCCCGAGATGTCCTGCTTCGATCTCGGCTCTCCGGAGGGATGCAGAATTCTGTTCTGAAGGAAAGGGAGGGTACTTCTGCTGAGGGATGTCTGATGGGGACTGGGGTGGAATCCTCCCGGGAAGGTTGTAGGCAGAACCACCCTGGGGCCAGAGCTTAGAGCGAGGCTGGTGCTGTCCCCTTTGCCCCGTGCTTTGGTCAGCATGCTGGTCTTGTCTTCAGCCTGGCTCCCTAGGCAGAGAGGAGAGCAGGCTTCTCATGAGTCTGCAGTGTCCTCAGTGGGTGCAGGTGGCTGTGTGGTTTATCAGCCCAAGCCTTACCCTGGCGGTGTGCTCTGAGGCCTCCTCTACCCAACTGGAGTAAACTGGAAGCTGGGCCTCCTGTTGCTGTTGGGTTTAGTGCCCCAGATGCAGAGAACTCAGCTGTGTACGTAGAGCTCAGCCCCTCTGGGTTGGAGTGCAGGCACAGGAGCATGGCTCCTGTCTGGCTCCATTCCTTGGTCTCTGGGAGTAGGCACTACTTTGGGACTTTCTCCAGATTTTGTATGTTGTTATTAAAAGCGAGCTATTGCATTTCATTCTGCCTCAGTTTGCCCACCTGTAAAATGGGGCTGATACCACCTACCTCACTGAAGTCTCCAGGATTCAAGTGCATGGCTGGGTCAGGGTTTGCTCACTTGTCATTCTGCATAGCTCAGCTGGGTCTTAGGAGTGGCTCTTAGGTGGCAAGAAAGCTTACCTCCCCTGCCTGCTCTGAAATAACTCCTTCCAAAGGGACGGATGAGCAGTGCGGAAGCTTAGACACTGGGACTGTGCTGGAGTCTGGGTCCCGATTCTAATCTAAACATCAAAGCAGATTGACATCCTGTCCCAGAATGCCAGCGTACCTCAGGCTTACGGGTGTGGCTCTCTGGTATAGGATTGCCATTTCTCCTTTAGGGTGTGTGAATGCTGTCCCCACAGGTGTTTCTAGAGAGGTAATAGAACCTGCCACTTCAGGCACTTGGCCATCCTGTGGTCTGAACACTGGATTTCTATCTTAGGGGAAATGAGGCCAAGTGTGTCTTCTGTGGAAGACTGAGGTAGTCCAGGGCTCATTGCAATTCCGTGGCTTCTCTTCTGGGGGCTCCCTCTACCAGAGCTCAGCCATACTCTCTTGGCTGGACTGAGTACAAGTACTTCCCAGTCTGTAGGAAGGCAGAGTACATGCCATGCAACTTGTCTCTTTGTGGCACACAGAGCATACTGATACCTGCTTAATACCACCGTTCCCTTTGTAGAAGAGGAAAGCACTCCAGAGAGACTGTCCAGTGGCAGGAGGCACGTTTGACCCAAGCCCCAGCCTATGGTTTGAACCACATGGCTGTCCCCAGTACACAGCCAGACATTTATCTGGTCACAGTTCCCTTTTCTCCAGTGGGCACTTTTGAATTTCAAACATATTCAGAGGCCCTTGAGAACTGGATTAGAATTCTGACATTGGAAGGCCAGACATGGTGGCACATGCGTGCAATCCTAGCACTGGGGCTGAGGCAGGAGGATAGAGTTTCTAGACAGCCTAGGCTACTTAGCAAGACCCTGTCTCAAAATGACAAATGACAGCAGAAACACCCAGAATCCTCCTGGGGTTGACAGTTTGGCCTCTGGGGCCATCTTTAATTTTCTTGGGAATGTGTCTGTCCTCACACAACACAGGGTGACAAGGAGCAACTGGAATTCAAGTGCAGTTGTGTTCTGAGGAAACCTAGGTGTCAGTCTTCAGGACACTAAGAGAAGTGCTGCTTACTTGGCATCCTTTGGAGGAGGCATTCCCGTTTCTTCAGGCAGTGTCCATCTTGCCTCTTGGGATCTTGCTGGCATCCTGACTGCCTACAGTGAGCCAGCCCAGGCTCATTCTCCCCCAGAGGATTATTATTGAAAACACAGGCAGCCGGGTGGTGGTGGCGCACGCCTTTAATCCCAGCACTTGGGAGGCATAGACAGGCGGATTTCTGAGTTTGAGAGTTCGAGGCTCACTCTATAGAGTGAGTTCCAGGACAGCCAGGACTACACAGAGAAACCCTGTCTTGAAAAACCAAAAAAAAAAAAAAAAGAAAGAAAACACAGGCAAACAATAAATAAGCTAGGCATGGTGGCAGCCTGGTCTACATAGCAAGTTCCAGGACAGTCCGGGGTCATAGCAAGATCCTCTCTCAAAAAAAAAAAAAAAAAAACAACCAATTTTTTTTCATTAATTAAGACATCCCAGCCCATGTATTTAGTTGGTCCAGTCTTTTGTGTGGGGTGTGTGTGTGTGTGTGTGTGTGTGTAGTCGTCATAAGTGATTTTAAATTTCTGGCCAAAACTGAATGTATTGAGTTTTAGATCTTGTCTGGTTTTCCACGTTGGCCTTCCTTTCCCACTTTAAAATCTGAGTATCTTAACATCACACAGCTTCCCTGTATCATTCAGTAGGACTGTCCCTGTGGACACGGCCACCCTCAAAAGGGACATGAATGCGCAGGCACAGGGTTTGTGTGCTTCAGTCGCTGGCCCTGGCACGGCAGGCACTACCTCATGTGGCCTGAAGAGTGGGCTGGGGTCTGGAGACCACGTGTAAATATCCGGAGCTGGAACAAAAGTAGCCTTTTAGGGCATCTGCATTGGCCCTTCTGGGGAGGTAGCCAGAGTGCTGCCCTGTCCCTCTAGGTGAGGAATGGTGTACCTAAAAGGCTTTCACTGAATAGACAGACACGAACCTCCAAACCTTTCTCTGAGGCCCTGAGACAAACAGCCACTGGCCACTGTTAGGACATCATACAAGCTTAGTGACTTGACAGCTTGTGGCTGAGGTGGAGATCTGAGCTCTGTAACAGGTAGAGCCCCACAAGTGGAGGAAGCAATGGAGTTCTGTGTTGATGTATTTCCACGGTGATTTCAGGCCATGAGCTGTCAATAGGGTTGTTGTTTTTGAGACAGGGTCTTCTGTAGCCCACGCTGGCTTCAAACTTACTGTATAGCAGAGGGTGATCTTGAACTAATGAACCTCCTTCCACCTCCATCTGCTGGTAGTAACAGGTTTCCACCACCGTGCTGGTTTTATGCTGTGCTAGGGGTAAAACCCAGGGCTTTGTGCCACTGGGCAAGTACTCTTATCAGCTGGGCTGCACCCGTCAGCTTTCTTACCTTCTTTTGACCTCAGCCCCTTCCTTTGTAGGTCAGGAAACTTTGATACAAACAGCAGTCTTCTTCCAAAATTATTATATGAGAATTTACACCTACAAAAATTTTTTTTTTTTTGCTACTTCAAAACTTTTGATTTCTACAAAAAACCATTTCAACGAAGACATGAGGTAGTGCACATTGAATGGGAATTATGAGTGGCTTTCCCATGAACACCTACATCCAACTGAAAGCCTCTCAAAGCAGGCTTTTTGGTGGCTGTTGGCTTTATGTTTGAGACATTGCTTTACATTCTAGAGACATTTAAAATTTCTTTGAAGTACCCCGATCATTACCTGTTTCTTTTAATAATACATGTTTCATGTTAATACAAACAGCTAAGCAAGGGAATGACCTTGACTTTGATGACATATGGAACGGTATCCACTGGGGCTGACAGAAACCATCCCACACACTGGCCTGTGAAGACCCTGTGAGGGGGATAGTGACCACTCTAACCGGAAGTTCGGGCGTTTCCAAAGTTGATCACATGGTACATTTTGGGCTCTGTTCTGTGCTCCCATGAAAATATACCCTGGCAGTGTTTGGAATGAAAACTCTCAAAGTTTTTTTAAGAGAACCCCCTGAAAACCATCCCAGTAGCAGGAAGATGGTTGGAATAGAAGTTGGGAACCTCAGTGGGAGTTTAGAAAAGATCCCGGCAGGCATCTGACCTTCCTTGTTGCATAGCATCTTTGCAAGGGGCTGCTGAGCAGGCAGGGGTAGGGGGTGGGGGTGAGCATGGGGGGTGGGAGCATCTAGCTGGCTCTTTCTGGGGCCTGTGGGTCATCACAGGTTGGAAATATAGCCACCTTTCGTGCATATGGGTTTCTAAAACATGCTGAATGACTTATGTCACAAAGGATAGGGCCTAATATACTGTATACATTCGAGTTAGACCTGCAGTAGAGACAGAAAAAGGAGTCAAAAGGACACAGTAAGGAATCAGTCATCACCCTAGAAACACCAGACCAGGAGGATTTCTCTGAACCCAACTACAAGGAGGTGGGAAGGAGGCCGTAGCTTAGCAGGGGGACCACACCCCTTTGCTATCCACATCGCTGGGTAGCCCTTCCAAGTGGCCTGGCCTCTGCCCTGAAAGCTGGCTGCAGCGCTGGTCTTCTGTTTGTTCCCCAGCTGCTTTAGGAAGGCAGTTCTGCTCTCAGGTCTTTTATCCTGACTCATACATACCTTTAAGGAGTCGCTGTCAGCCTGGAAGAAAATGTTTCCCCGGAAAGGAAAACCTTCCAGAACGTATGTAGAAGAGAACAATGTAAAATAATCCAGTCCCTGTAGCTCACTGGATATACCCATGTCAACTGGAGACGTCAGACTTTCTGCTTGTTACTGGGACAGAAGGCTGGAAAACGTGAGGAAGGAAAAGCTTGTTTGGGGGATGGGCGATAAAAGGAAAGTTCCTCTTCTTCAGTGTCACCCACTTGCCTCCTACAGCCTCATGTAAGCCAATGGGCCATCAAAATTTTTCTCTCTATGGATGGCTCTTTCATTTTGGAATCTGACTTTAATAAAGCAATTAGGTTGCTCAGTTTGAAATAACATTGTTTCTGGTGAACTTTAATTACATTTTGAATAAACACTCAAAAGACTCAAGCCAATTCCAGAAACCAATGAAGTCAAGTGATTCAATGGTGGTGATGGAAATGTGGCCCTGGTCCCCCAGCAAGCCATGTCAGCCCAGTTTGTCAGGGCCTAGGATCTTCAAAGGGAAGGTAAACTCAATACACCCCTTCAGGTTCAGTGACAGCGAGGTTCCACAAAATCATGTACAGAGGTTGGCACAGTTCCTGGGAAAGCTGGTGGTCACTGCCATTTCCTTCTAGGATACGCTAATGGGCTTTACTCCATGGCTGTATCTGGGAATTACAGGGAGGGGGCCTGGCAGCCAGTGGTGGGAGATCACAGCCGTGCGACGTGTCATCTGTTCATACAATGGCTAGTAGTTGTGTGACTATACAAAAAACCACTATATCAAGTAAAGACTACGCCTTGACCTGAGGTTTTAGTTCACCGGGCTTAGGGTGGGGCCCCCCAAAGCTGTCAGTTCTAGTTTATACAAACCTCTGGCACTGGGAGCCCCAGAGCAACACTGGGAGTCCACATCAGATCAGTCTGTCTCCTTAAGGCTCAGGGACAATCTTGAGCTTCAGCAAGCACCTATAACTTAGGAATCTCACAGTTCAGAACCCTGTGGACGGCCTTCCCTAACCAGGAAAACATCTTATAACTCGGGAAACTTCAGAATCTGAACACAACTCCAGTACATCACTGAATGGGCTAGAATTTAGTATGAAGAACTTCCTTCTGTAGGAGAAAGCTAATCTCTCCCAGCTGTAATTTGTCTGAGGCTGGAGGACTGACTGCTCCAAACAAGGCTCCACCCAACTGTAATCTGATGCAGGCAGCTCTGGGCCAAGCTTCAAGAGGCTTATCCCACATCCCACGGTCGACTGGTCAGCCCCCACTTGAGGTACAGCTCTGCACACCACCGTGTGCTTCTTTCCCCACTGATCTGCCAAGAATATCACAGGAACACAACAGTATCCAACGCTGTTTTTTTTTAAGCTTTCCATTTATTCACATTTCATGGATTGTTACACTTCCTTAAAGGCTCATTCAAAAGCTAACACACACTGAGGTTATACTGCCTTACAATTCAAGTATTGTAGCTTTAGAAAACAAGTTCCTGTTCAAAGTATATAGCAGATTATTCCATATGATGCTAAGAAGTCTTACATCCCCTTTACAAATCTGTGTTAAAAGATAGTCCTCAGTCTCGTGATTGCTTCTGGAGAGCACTCCGTGGCCATGTACAGAGCACGGGGCTAGAAAGATGCTGTGAAGAACTCCCAACCTCACCTACAAGTGACAGAACAGGTCATTTCCTTAAAATCCCACTTCAGTGGTGTAAGTGGGTACTCTGCAGCCTCAAGGGCTGTTTCTCATCTTCAGAAATAGTTACATAATGAACAAACTGGCAAGAACAGACTTCTTTAAAAGGTAGGGGAAGGGCTTTCCCTGACCGTAAGGTGGAATTTCCCCTCTATGCCATAGGAGGTATTATTTTTTTTGGCACACAGCATGTAAAAAATAGGATTTAGAACTGAAATGGTAAAACAGAAAAATCAGCCCACAAACAGTCTGACCTGTCACTGACAGCCACAGCCTGTACAGTGTGGCTCTCTGAGGAGGACAGGGCAGGGCTGGGAATGTGTGAAGTGTGAGATACAGTGTGGGAAGGCCCAGGCTTAGCATCTGGTCGATGCACCCTGACCACAGAGAACACACACTTCCCTCAGGCAAATACAAGACACAACTTTAGATTCTGAAACACCTCAGTTCACATTAAACACACAACAGGCAAGTTTCTAACATGTTAAAACATAAATGAAGTTTAAGCCATGGTTGGAACCAGCTACACACACAGTAGAGGAAGAACAGAGTACCCTCCAGGGGCCTCCCTGTGACACGCAGACTTCATAGTGACTCCCATACTCAGGTCAGATGCACTGAGCTAGCTCCTAAAGCATAAAGACAAGACACACTGAGTTACAGTCACACCATGTATCTCCCCTGTAATTCTCATTTCCAAAAGTGATAGTCTTTAGCAGCAAACTTTGCTGGGAATGTTAGAAAAAAAAAAGCCACACTAATTTACAAGGAAAATCGGCTGGGGAGCTTTAGAAGGCACTCCAGTCACGACCTTTTTTGCTTTTATTCTTTTGGTAAATATTCAAGGCATGGGCAGATGCTCACAGAGCACTGCCACCACGAAGAGACAATTTCCTCAAAGTACTTGTGAGTCTGAGACTTGCCAGCCCCACAGGCACGTGGCTACACAGTACTGTTCTGAAATGCAAACCCCTCATTTCATCTTTGGAATGCTGGGCAAACCCACTGTCAACAGGCCAGGGCCAGTGATAGCAGAAGCAGCGACTTGCTTGCTAGGAACCGATTTTCCATGCTAAAAGGCAAGTCAACACCCAGTACCTCCTTAGGTCCACAGCCCAAGAAGCACAAACTCCCATCTTCAGATACACAGCAAATGCTCAGCTCTGAGTGCTGTCACCCACCTCAGGAAGCAGCTCTGGGCTCAGGAGGCAGAGGCAGGTGGATCTGAGTTCAAGGCTAGCCAGGGTTACATAGTGAGATTAAGACCCGTGTGAAAATAAAAGTTAACTAGGTTTCATCCCACCCGGGCATTGAAGTTTTAAGAAAGCGACAGTACCATCCAGTTTTTGTGACTGTTTGCCCAGGTCAGGGCACGCGTGCTACTATCTGACCACACAAGTGTGCGCCCCGGGTACTGACCCTGGGCCTTCAGACAAGATCTGGTCCTAGTGTTAAATGGTTTTATGAGAAATGAAAGTGGAACTTTAGACAGTCAGACTTTTTATTTTATTTTATGGGGGGAGGTCTTACTGTGTAGCTCAGGCTGCTGTGAACTCGCATCATCTTCCTGCCTCAGCTTTTCGAGCACTGGGATAAGGCATGAGCCATGATCAGCTTGGCATCAAATCTTGCATTTAACTGATGTCTGGTCCTCAGAGCATGCTAGTATTAGTAACCTCACCGCTCTGAAGTGACATGAACGTCGTGTAGAACCATGGCTCTCTTCCAAATGGACATACTCAATAATACCTCATCCTTAAAAAAGTAAGAATAAAAATGGGTTTTTCAGACACCAAATCACATGCTTCTGTCTGAAGCTACAGCCCAAATGAGCAGTCTTCCACTCCCATACTCTAGCTTCTCATGAGCACATGGCTCCTGAGAGGACTCCATTCAGACTGTGCCCACCAGGGCTCACCAGGGCACAAATGGCCATGAGCACACAACGCTTTTCAGCACGATTTCACCTTTTTCTTTTAAAATAAAGGCTTGTTTGTGGTATAGAAATGATATAAAAACACTACCAAACTTGTGCTTTTTGTCCATTATTCCTGACAGCCCCCGTCCATGTTAACTAGGGAGGTAAGCAAGTAAGAGCACCTCATGAATAAACTACAAAACCCAGTCTATCTGTACACCAGCAGCTCCCCACAAGCCACTACTCAGGTCCTTTCCTGGGGAAAGGCAGTTCCTGGTTCAGTCAAGCAGCTCCAGGTCAAAGGCCAGCACCTGCCAAAAAACAGGCTGATAACAAACCGATTCCCAGTACCCACAGTTCAGCTCAGAAGGAAACAGGGCAAGCGCAGTCACAGTGTGGCGGTGTGCTATTTGGCAGGAGTGCTAGTCACGGATCAGACAAGCCCACAGGAGGGGAGCAGGCAGGTGTCTTCTGAACACTGTGGACACTGCCATCGGGTCTTCTGGGGCAGGCAGAGAGTGGCACCCACAGCCACCTGAGGGAGCCTTTGGAGAGCTAACTGGTACCCTGATTACAGTCCATTAAGAATCACTTAGGTTTAGTTTACTCAATGAATCAACATGAAAAAATCTTCCCAAACTTTTCACTCTAACGTATTTTGCTTAGTTCTTAGGAAGGGAGAAGAGCTTCAACACACTGAAAGGATTTATTGGCCTTAATCTTCCTCACAAAGTTCAAGTTACCTAGAAGTTCTGAGAATGTCACAGTAGAAGAGGAAAGAATGTGACTAAGTTTAGGGGCAGAGGGAAGCAGCATCGTGGCAACATGCCTGGTCAGCCTCGTGCTCAGGCATCCTTTTTCTGAAGTAAAATCTTGTGCAACTCGTCGGCATCCTCGCTCGTCTTCACCCGAATCAGCATGGTGACCGGGAGAGTGGGCTGCTTCTCATCAAGTGGGGGGTTGGGGACACAGACGATAAGGACATTGTTTTTCCCTGTTCGGGTGCACGGCATATTGGGTGGAATCAGAACATTCAGCAGTATGTTGCCTTTGAGTAAACAAAGGAAAATATTCATCAAAACATATAAAAATAAATACACAAGATATATCTCAAAACTGTAGGATTCTATAAGAGGCTAAGGTTCAATCCTGAAGCAACTTCTTAATGTGTTAAATGTTACAGCCATAAAGGCCTTCATTTCTTGTATTCGGGAGTGTGGCAAGCTGCAGGGAGCTGGGGGTTGACAGGTACCAGCGGAGGAGGTGCTTCCTCCTCCCCTTCTGAGCACACTCCTTGTCCAGCTTCAGGTGCTTCCAACCTGGTAAACTGAGTGCAGAGAGGACTTGCTGTGTACCACTTGGACCCACGTCTTCACCATTTCATGGGACTTAAGGGTGAAGAACCAGCAAAAAACCAGTTTCTCCCCAGCAGGGCTCCCCAGGCTAGTGTGACATTACAGTGATCCTGTAGTAGTTAGGTGGCCTGAGTTCCTTGGTGTTGCCTGGCAGAGTCTCACACTACTGCGCACATGCTATAGGCTCAGTGCAGTCAGAGCCTCTCTTTTACTGGACTGTTGGACGGGACTGACAGTTGGAGTGGGTGAAGGACAGCAATGCGGTACTCTTGCTCTAGGAAAAGCATCCCTAAGGCTGGGAGACAGCCTCAGTGCTAAGCATGTAAGCACAAGGACCTGACCTCAGGTCCTCAGAACCCATGTGAGAGCTGGGAAGAGCAGCCCAGAGAAGTGGGAAGGGCAGGGATGGGGCCGTAGACCCCTCACTCTCACTGGCCAGCCTGCCAGGCTCATCAGAGAGCTTCAGGTTACTGAGACCCTGTTCCCAAACTAAAGGTAGAGAGGCTGAGGAATGAGAAGAGACAATCTTGGGCCTTCACATACCAGCCCTTCCCTCCACAGAGATCTCTCTAAACTGAAACCTGATACTTCTACACTGTGCTCAGTAAAAGTCATCCATATGCAAACCACCTCCACCACACTCCAACACAGGAAACAAAGCTTTTAACAATACACCTACATCATGTTCCCAATATTCAAAACCAAATCCATATTAGTAACCAGAAGATCAATTTGGCCTTGTGATCTCTCATAAAACAGACAGACAGACAGACAAACTCCTATTATTGAGCTTCAAAACACAAAGAACTGCAGTGTCAGGATAAGGCTCTCTACCCAGGGCACCATGATGGCTCTGCACCCACCTAGGTTGGTGTCTGCCCGCACCAAGAGCTGGGTCTTCTGAGTTGCTGTAGGTTTTAAATGTAGGGTTCCCACACCCTTCTCTTTAAACTCATTGTCTTTCTTGTAAAATAGTTTACATCTGTGGGAAACAACAGACATGATTAGGCATTCAACAAGTCAGTTCACTAACAACCGCAACTGTAGTGGATAAACAGAGGATAAACCTTCTTTACTGTATTGATGGTATCTGGGTAAAACCAAACCAAACAGCAATATAATCTAGTTAGATAGTCTAGAATTTACCTTCCCACTCCCCCCTTTCTCTGTAGTGTGGGCCAATGCTAGGCAAGCACTTTGCTAGTGGGCGACAATCACAGGCCCTCAAACCCTCTGTACAACATGTGACCATCTTTCCTCAGTGTGTCAACATCTCAGCTGACCACTTCCACTGCCCGTTCTCATGTGCCCTGTGCTGAGTGGCACAGCAGACTGGCTCTCTTGATGGGCACGGAACCAGAAGGCTGCCCTGCATCTCTCCCACCCTGCTGTCCCACTTACTTTTTATTTTTTCCAAATTCCCTTCAGGCCTTCAATTTTGATCCCCTAAGACCCAGAGATAAATCTGGACTAGGGTGTAACTATGGATAAAGCAGTACACTGTACGTTATTTGCAGACCCTTAAGTTATTAGGAAAGCCCTGCTAGCACTCGGGAAGTGGAGGCAGGTAGATAGATCTATGGGTTCAAGGCCAGCCTGGTCTACAGAGTGAGTTCCAGGACAACTAGGGCTACACAGAGAAACCCTTGTCTTGAAAAACCAAAACCAACCAGCCAACCAACCAAGCAGGCCAACCATTCTTGCAGTTGCAGTTGTTCAGTCTGCTCTGCTGAGCAAGGCCTGCAGGTCCCCACAGCCCCACTCACTTTTTGGAGTAGAAAGCATCCTCTTCCTTCACTTCAGTCACCACCACCTTGGGTGGCTCGTCATTCTCTTCTTCCTCACCATCTGCAGAGATAGAACTCAGAGTCAGGAGACACTTGTTCCCCATCATCCTGAACACCAGTCTGGAATACTCCATGTAAGCTAGCTAGTAAATACGACTGTGAGCACCTTACTGCTTTAAGGGAGCAGGTGCCAGCTGGATTTATTTTGTGAAAATTTAAATTTACTTATTTAGTACGCATGTATGTGTGCACACACAAATGGGTACTGTGTGGAGGTCAGAAGACAACTTGTGGGATTTGGTTCTTTCCTTCTCCCCCGTGGGTTCCCAGCATCAGGTTGTTAGGCCTAGAGGCAAGCATCTTTACTTGCTGAGGCATCTCGCCACACTTAATAATGACAACATGTTTCTATATTGTAAAATAACTTCTAACTTGTCCAAAGCCCAAGAATGAAAGGCATCCTTGTTTATGACATTCACCAAAACATATTAAGTATAAAATTATACATACTCAGGCTGTCCAGTGGAAAAGGAAACCCAATGCCATCCCTTCCAACGTTCTTGTGTCCAGAGCACATTGTGCTCAGGAATAACCAGCATCAACAATGACCAAAAGAGCAAAAATAATTTTTTTAAAGATCAAACTGGTCAGAAAAATTGCTCCAAAGAGTTGTCTGAACTGTCTAAGGGCTCAAGGGTCTGGTACTGCAGGACCTGGCTCACTGAGAGGGCAGGAAGGACACATCCGTTCAGGATCGCCTCACCACAGTGAGGAGCAGAGACAAGGCTGACAAACAAACAGGAAGGATCCGCTCAAAGAGAAAAGGCAGTTGTGTAAACCTGCCAGACTTGGATCATAGACTCAAACTAAGAGCTGAGTGTGGTGGGCCAGACCTTTAATCCCAGCATTTGGGAGGTAGAGGCAGGAGGATCTCTAGGACAGCATGGTCTAGATACAGACAGAGTACCACCAGGTCAACCAGAGCTACACAGATAAACCCTGTCTCAAAACAAAACAAAAACGAGCAAACAAAAAACCCAAAAGAACAACAACAAAAAGACTGAACTAAGGTCCAGCATGAGGTACTAGGATTTCCTGTCAGGATTACTTAACTGAGGCACCCAGGACTGGAGAAGGAGATCCAGGAAGGCCAGGAAGTTGCTCTTTGAACAAGTTCCAAGTCTTTCTGATGTTAAGGTGTGGTAACCTAACCATAAGATGGCAACAGGGTCTGACAGTGCGGGCTGCAGGACTAGGGTCCGATATAAGCTGCCTATAGTTCAGGATATACTCTCCTCTTATTTGGAGGCAGAGGAGAAATTTAAGGGCCCCTATTGGACCCTGGCGGCCGAAGAGTTCAGACAGAAGAGCAGTGGAGCTTGGAGTTCAAGGTCAGTCTGGTCTATACCGCAAGTTCTAGGACAGCCAGAGCTACAGAGAAAAATAAAAACAAAACAACCTGTCCTTCAAAGCAGACATCTAATCCCTCAGCACCATTAGCCACGGTCCAAGTATGCAATGCCCAGGCACGGCTAGGGAGCACTGCACTGGACAGTACGTGTACTAACCACAGCCATCATTTTACTAAGTTGTACTGGATAGAACTAGTCCTGAAGTGTTACACAGAATACATATGAACACCATGGGTACCAATACCTCAAAAGAAACTCTGCAAGTGTGCCTACTGCCAAGACCTGCCACATCGACAGGTCCAAGGAAGCCGAGTGTGACCCACAACAGCAGGGCCTTCCTCTGAGGATGAGCGAGCCTCCTTTGTGTCAGGTCTGGCCCCAACATTAATGCTAAAGCAGCTCATTTAGTCAAACCCCTAAATCAACCAAATTCAATGGACATTCATGCTGAGCCTTTTCAGTAAAATTCCATTTTCAAAAAGATTTTAATTTGTTTCTTCTATATTCAACATCACGTGCCCAGCGCTTTTTAGTTACTGTGCTAAACCTCTATTCCAGCTGTCTTCAACACAGCTTCACTGTGCATCTAGAGATGCATCTCGTGCAGACAAAGGCTGTGTTGCTGGTGTACACCATGCCATTTCTCTCCCGCAGAACCACACCCCACCCCACTCTGCACTTGTGATCTCTAACACCTATAAAATGGGTCTTGCTCTATTTTAAGGATAGGAACTAAGCCACTGTGACACACAGGAAATGGGGCACCTGTAGTGTTCTCATTAACCCTGTGCAGATGTGAAAGAGCGGCTTTGTATTTACCTCTGCATTCACTGCTGCCGCTTCCTGCTTGACTCTCTGATGCTTTAGCAGAAAATGGTGAAGAGGCTGCTTTACTCTGGGCAGCATCTTTACTGAATAAACTCGAGTTTCCAGGAGAGAATGAAAACCCAGTTAGGGAGCCAGAGCTTAACGAGCCCAAAACTGAGCTCTCAATTTTCTTGCCGAAATTAAATGAGGCACTTGTTGCTCCTTGTGCTGCGTCTGATTTCTTTTCTGCTGTAGACTCTACCTTTTCAGATGTGTCCTCTGCTTTGTTGCCATGAAATGAAAATGGTGAATCCTGCTGTAGTTTTGTTGAACCAAAAAGGGAAGGCGGCTCCGTCCCAACTGTCGCCCTGTCTGCCTGGCTCTCAGAGCTGCTGCTGCCTCCGTTCTCAAGCTGCTTCTCGATGGTTGCCAAGTATCTCTCGTAGTCTTTAAAAATGGGCGTCAGGTCACAAAGCGGGTTTGTGTTTACATGCTTGACTATCCAGTCCCGGACAGAGCAGTTCAAGCCGGCCAACTGCTTGTGGTAGGCATTCCCAGTGCAGGCGGTATTGGAGGCAGGGCCAGAGGAGAGTGGCTGACTGCTGCTACTGCATTTGGGACTTGAAATCTTTTTATCCAAGGTAGTAGGGCCATTCACAGCAAAAGAACCTGTAAGAAGTTAATGGTTAAGCACTTTAAAAGCTGGTTTGATTAAACCATCTAAGGGTTGACTTGGTTTTGTTTTTAATGTGTCCACAGGGTCTTGCTGTGTAGTCCTAGCTGAGCTGGACCCTGCCATTCTACCTCGGCTTCCTAAGCTGACCACAGGTGTGTGCCACCAGGCTCACTACAACTAGGGTTTGGACTACTACCATCAAGCTCTGCTTTTCCTGTTCCCAAGCTTGTGTCCATAAACTAATGCTGAGGAACTGGGTATCTAGCAGATGGTTCCCAAGGCACGTAGTGCTCTCTGCTTAGTAAGGACGACTCGGGGCAGTGGGTGGTGCATGAGGACATCTGACACGTGAAGCTAGAATCAAGAGGATCAGAATAAAGTCATCCTCCCTCTACACAGCCGGAGGGCAGCTTGAGCTCCTGCAGCTATGCTGTGTGAGAGCTATCTCAAACCAACAACCACCACACAACATACACTTTGAGAATAGCAAAACACAATCTAGCCAATTAGGATCATTTCTAGGATTCAACCCATAATCCTGTTCTCTATGTGAATCTCAAAAGTTCCTGACTAATTCATCCAGAATAGGATTAGGTGTTCAGTATTTCCTGTTCAAATTTAGACCAGGGAAACTGATCAAAGACAGCATCACCCCAGTTTCCAATGGCCACTGCGGTGGGAGGTGCACTGAAGGCCCTTGGCGTGCATGAACCAGGAAGGCAAACACTGAGTCAACAAATTGCTTCCTTGCTGAGAGTCAACTCTGGGGTCTGGGCGTTATGAACTTGACACTGAAGTCACACTGCTGTCAACAGGCAGAGCTGAGAATATAATTGCTGTGTCGGGTGTGCTGACCCACTTGCTCCATGGATCTCCCCAAGTCCCATCCTTTCACCAGCACATCCAAGGACATAATGCTAGAAACATCTTACCAGCTGGGGCTGGTAGCACACACCTATAATCCCAGTGTTCAGAAGGCTGGAAGAGGAGGACTGAGTTCACTGAGTCAGCCTGGGCTACACTGCAAGAGGGAAAATATAATAATTGGGTAAGCAAAATTCTCTTTCAGCATCGATTTCAGAGAGGGCAGGCTACTCACCAAAGGCTGCTTTAGGCTCCACTGCTGTCTTTGCACTGGAGAAGGGCGTGGCATTGTCTGTGCTGTTTCCGTTCGTCAGTCCTTCCAGAGGCTTCCCTCCAGAGCCACCACCAAATCCAGAAAACCCTCCTCCTCCAGAAGGCACAACCAAACCTTTGAAACCTTTAAAGGCTCCACCGCTATCAGACTGAAACACAAACAAAGCACGCTTTAGGCAAGCAGACTGCCTGTCTTCAAATAAACAAGTAAGAGCCAGCAGACCTCAGAGCCAGCAGTGTTCAGGCATGGCTGATATTGGACAGAGGAGAAGCTACTAGCACAGGCCAGGCAGGAGAGGCAAAGATGGTGCCTCTAAGGACAGCTGTGTCACAGCTGCATTCCTGAAACAGCCAGGAAAGATGGTATCAAAACAAATATAGCAAATTCATATACCTACTACTGAACTTCAGAATAACTGAAAATATTCCCAATACAACTAAACTTCATACACCTTTCCAAAGATCATTTGCCTAAAGAAGCTTCAGAAACATGAAATTAGATTCATTAAAAACATTTTCCTGGGCATGGTGGCTCTAGCCTTCATCCCAGTACTTGGGAGGCAGGCGGATCCCTAAGTACCAGGCCAGCCTGGTCTACAATGTGAATTCTAGGACAGAGAAATCCTGTCTCAAGACAAAAGAAAAGTAGTTTACCTAACGTAGTAACTTTTGGGTTTTCAAGCTGTTCTTAGCCCACAGAAGTCCAAGGAGACCACACTGTGCACTCTAGCCACTCTATCAGTCAAGCAGTCCAGCACAGAACGTTTTTCTCTCCTTGCTGCTTCCTTATCCCTGTCCTAGCAAGCTCTTCCTTTGGCTAGTCTATTCCTTCTGAGAGTCTAGAGCACTGTGGAGAAAGTCTCTGCTGAGGGAGATGCTCTGGGTAAGACCGCTAGCCATGCAAGCATGAGGGCCAGAGAGAGAATCCCCAGGTTCACAGAGACCGTCTGAGGGAATAAGGTGCACAGAACAGGACATCACCTGCATGCAGCACAGGAGCATGCAGACAGACAGACAGACAGACAGACACAGACCCCCTAAAGTTTAACTTATCACCTCCTGAGGGAGTGGATAAACTGATAATGCTCCACCACTTTCACCGGAATGCAACCTGTTCCTATGTAAACAGTTAGACAGGAAAACCCAACCACGTCTACTTAGTTTTAATGTTTACATTCTTCTTAGTTTTTTATTATATTAAAGCTGTCAGGGCTAAGGACTCAGCTCAGTGGATAGAGTGCTCCTGCAAGAGACTGAAATTTGGATCATGGAACTCCAAAGACACAAGATGTCAGCTGCAGACCTTTACACACACAAACACATGTGCCCATCATGTGTCCACACATTCAAGCAAACAAGCAAGCAAGCAAGCAAACAAGCAAGCAAGCACGCACACACGCACCCACGCACGCACAAACTAAGCTAGTCCCTCTTTACTCCTACATAACTCATGTCCTGGCTGGTTTTTGTTCTTCTGTCAATGTGACACAAGCGAGAATCATCTGGAAAAAGAAACCTGATTAAGAAGACGCCTCCCGTAGGCAGCTCTGCGATTCGTTTTCTTGATGAGTGATCCACGGGGGGAGGCCCTACTTCCTGTGGGCAGCATCGCTCCAGCAGGGATCCCTTGGTGTGTTATAAGGCATGTGGAGGGGACCCTGGGAATCATGATAGGAAGCATGCCTCGTGCTTCAGTTCCTGCCAGAGCTCCTGCCTTCCCTCCCTCCACGATGGGACACTGTAAGCTGAAATAAATCCTCTCATAAGTTTACTCTCAGGGTGTAGCAACAGACACCCCAACTAACACATACTACTTAGCCTTAATGTTACACTATTTATTTATTTTATATACATGAGTACACTGTCGCTGTGTTCAGACACACCAGAAGAGGGCATCAGATTCCATCACAGATGGTAGTGCGACACCATGTGGTTGCTGGAAATTGAACTCAGGATCTCTGTAAGAGCAGCTAGTCCCCTTAACCACTGAGCCATCTCTCCAGCCCTACAGTTTTTTTCAAAAACAGTCTTAATCACACTTACAGGTTTTCAAATGTTTACTGACCACTGGTACATTTATAGCAATAAGGAGGAATGAAAACTCTTACTAAAATACCTTTAATTCTGATGCTTCTGTTTATCTGACAAAGCATCAGCTATCATAGGCTGGCTTCCCACTTGCTATGTGGTCCATGACACTCAACTGCTGAGCCTTCTGCCTCCACCTCCTGAGCTCTGGGTTTACAAGCATACGCCATTATACCCAGAGAGATTCTAGTCACACACTGTGCCCACTGAACAACAAGTTCCCAGCCCCTAAATCTGATTTTCTCAACAATCAAAATCTACAATCTAAAAATCGAGGCTGGGGGAGCAGTAATCGGTTAAGAGCATGCAGAAGACCTAAGCAAGCTTCCCATCACTCCTACCAGGTGGCTCACAACTGCCTGGAACTTGAGCCTATAGCTCTGATGCCCTCTCTTTTGGCCTCTGTGGGTAGGCACACGCACACACAAATACAAATTGGATATCGGAGTTCAAGTCCTAAGGAGTGAATTCTAGGACAGACCTCAGATGTGATAGCTTCCCATCCATCTAGCTAATAAAGAAGGCCATTTTTTTTTTTTTAAACTGCAGACCCGCTCCTGCCCACTGTTCCTGGCAGCATGGTTCCAGGGAGATCAAGGCTGCACAGAAAGTGTTCCTCTAGGGCGGATGTGGATGTGAACTTATACAAGTCAGTGCACTCTGAATGCACCCAGGGCATGACATGGAGTCTCCTAAGAACATGTTGGCTATACAATTGTTTCTCTGCTTTGAGTTACACAGTGAATATAACCTGAACAAACCAACTTCACTTCTATAATGTGAAGGTAAAAGCACCTGTCTTGTCACCAAGCCAGATGACCTGAAACTTGATTCCCAGGAACCAGCCGCTGGAGAGAACTGACGTATACATTGTTCTGACCTCCAAGTGTGCACAGTAGGCACACAGCACACAGCCACCCACAACCCCATCTATATATACACACATTTTAGAAATTGCACGGGAAGAGCATCATTTGTGTACGCATGCTCTGGGACTGGGAAGCCACGCTAGTAAGACATCAAAGCTGGAGGAAGCACTCACTTCAAACCCAACGTTTCTACGCTTTGCCTTCTTTACGGCTCTGTTCTTCATGACTTCCTCACTGGCCACTGAGAACGTTCCCATCTGCAAGAATAGACAAATTTAGACAGCAGAAAGGTAAGGTCAAAGGAAGATTAAACGCTAAACACATCTGGTATCTGATCTTCTTAAAAGAGTTGACTTAACACATTAAGAAACATCTTACATATATCATCTACAGGTTTCTGTAGATTTCAATTCTAGTCTGGCAACTCACAAATTTTCCAGAATCTACAAATCCAGCCTCCAAGTTCCTCCAATTCAGAGATATCTGAAAAGATGAACACCACTAAATCTTGGTACAAAAAAATACTCATGACTGGCTTCCTCAAACATCTTAGACACACAGTTTATTAAGTTGCTATGAGTAGCACCCACATTTTTCTTTTGTAGAATAGGATCCTGTACATGCGTGAGCTCTACCACTGAGCCACAGTCTTCACTCACTGTTCTGAAGAGCAGACCTGCCCACTTTGCCCACTGTCCAAAAGGTCAGACAGCTAGGCCACACATGCCACTTATCACCTTGTGCTCTTCCAAGGTGTGCTGAGTGTGCTAATCATAATCACCATTTGCTGAAGGCCTATGGTTTCACTTCATCTACTCCCTCACCTGCAGGGCTAGAACTAGGTAACTGTACAAAATTCTCATCCAGCCAGGTGGGCCAGCTTCCACCCACAGCCCCTGTTCACAGGAAGCTGAGGCCACTGGGTTAAAGTGAGAACATGTCAAAAATGAAAGGCCTCTTAATCTACAGGTGTTTCAGGTCATGTTAACATGAGAAAGATCCTTGTCCCAGAACAAGACCATTTGTCTACACTTGGACACTTAATGTAACTAACTTCCATAGTTGTCTCGGTAGAACCTGCCTGAGTTCTTTCACTCCTGGACACTTGAGTGACAAAGCAAACACAATATTTAAGTCTAGATCTTACTCCACTCCAGGACTGTGCTTCAGACCAAGGAAGGAAAAAAAAATCCAAACTAAAGATTCAGTAAAAGAGCAAGTCAGCTAAAGACTGTAAAAACATTGACACATCAGTAGTATGGTCTCCCCAAACAGATCAGTGTACCTATCTGTACCAAAAAGGAAAAGGTCAGCCTACGAATAAAGCTGCACAACACTTTACTCCATGATTTCTTCTTCCCTTTCCGCCCAGCCGTGTGCTACAGAGCTTTGCTGCAGATCTGCCTAGTGGACTGGCCTAGGGGTATCAACTTGCTCAAGAGACCTAGATATGCAAAGATTTCCTCACAGAAGACAACTTTAATTTTGCTGGCAAAGAAACTACACTGATATAAATTCTATTAAATCAGCTCAATTGCCGGGCAGATTTAGCATCAGAACAGCCAACAGTGGGTCATGAGAAGCGCTGGAGTAAGGGACTGTGGAGAGCAGACTGAGGTGATACCTGCAGGGGCAAGCTCCTGTAACCTGCCTTTTAGTCATGACTAGACCACTCAAAGCGCAGTAGAGGATACTGTGTGACTCTTGCTTCTGCAGACTGACGCATCACAAGCACACACTGATAGAAGAACAGCATACTCACACACGAAGAACACATTTCTACAGCAAACACAGACAGCTCGGGAGGAACCAACACCTCTCCCACTGTGTGTTCTTGAAGGTTTTTAAGTTCTAGCATCTTCTTCACCAAGAAAGTAACGTGAGCTTAGACACAGACAGCAAGAAACCAAAGAGAACTGCTCTGTACCTCTTCAACTTCGTCTTCTTCATCCCAGTTCCTATCTGTCAATTCCTTCTCTGCAACTCTCTTCGCCATTTTTGTGAACCTAGATTACAGGAAGCAGAAACAGGATGTTTGCTCTTCTACACCACGATAACTGTTACAAATCAATTTTTTGTTGCAGTTTTCATTTATTGTATAATAAAACCACAAAATAGAGAAGTATAAGAAAAAGCAATTAACAGGTTTAAAGCAAATGAGACTTAGAGGGTTTGGCTCAAAGGGAAGGAAACACAGTAAGAAATTCAGGAAAATATGAAGTTCAGGGAAGTTAATTTTACTTTTTTAATTAAATATTTTTATTACAAGTAATTAAAAAAAATCCTGTGCCAGCACAAAATCTGGCAAACATGCTCCTGATGCTAATGAAAAGTGCTTCAGTGAGCACTTCTCACTGGGCAGGGGTCCCCAGTACTAAATCCTCAGTGAGCACTTCTCACTGGGCAGGGGTCCCCAGTACTAAACCCTCAGTGTAGGACTAAAGAGCAGGCAACGACATCTGAGGGACACTAGCACTCTTTCTGAACAGGAAGCCAACTCCATTCAGAAAATTAAATCAAACATCTATTGATCGTTCAAAATCTACAGTATTTAAGTAGTATATTGTACACAAAAGTCCCTAAATCAATGTAAATATTCTTGCTATGAACATTCTTAACATTTAAAATTTAAAGATGATTTATAAGTTTATTCTTGGGTAAGGATTTTAATAATGTCTCGGAAATACTTTTGCAACATAAATAGTTTTCTTAAGGCTACAATTAATAGAAATGTCCCCCCAATTAACATTTAATTGCCCTGAATTACATATTGTACAAAGCTAAGACATTACTTACAAATTCAAATTTTTAAATGCTATGGATGTGGTTGCAACTGGTAATATAAAATGCTTCAAATATTCAGCATCAAGGCTGGAGAGATGGCTTGGCAGGTAAGAGGGTGTACGGCTCTTGTAGAGTTTGTGTTTGTTCACACTCAACAGTAGCTCACAAGTGCCTGAAACTCCAACTCTTGGGGTATTTGACTTTTCTGGCTACCAAAGGTGGTGGTGACGATGATGATAAGAGTCGTCATCGCAAGAGCCAGGCAAGGTGGCACATACCTTTAACCCCAGGACTCAGGATAGAGGTAGGTGGATCTCTGAGTTCGAGGCCAGGCTAGAATAAGTTCTAGGTCAGCCAGGGCTACACAGAGAAACCCTGTTTCCAGAAAAAAAAGTCTTGCCTTTTAGAAATAGCAATAACAGGGGTTGGGGAGATAGCCCAGCAGTTAAGAGTACATATTACTCTTGGAGGACCAGAGTTCAGTTCCCAGCACCCACGTCAGCCATCTCACATCCCTGCTGGAGTTACAAGGGATCTAGTGCCTTCTACTTCGCACGCACACGCACACGCGCACACACACACACACACACACACACACGAACAACAAACAAAGGGGGAAAAAATTAACCCCCAGGAGCTCTGAGGGCTTTATTCTAAGCACTGTTTGTTTTCTTCGGAGCAGCTGAAGCAGCAGTGGTATTTCCAGGCTGGCAGTAGGTATTCCTTCCTAATACTTTCTCCATTCACTTACCCTCAGCATAGCATCCCACCCAACACTTAATGCTCTACAGCAGATTAGCAACTACAGAGTAAGTTTCAAATCAGTAAATTCCAAAACCCTCCAAAATTTGATGTGCAGGGCTCCAGCTTTTGATACATTCCAACTTTTTACATTTTTCTCTTACAGGCACTTTTTCTGATTACAGAATGAGTAATTTTAAAATTAAAGATTCTCTTTTTAACTCCTCCCCCGAATGCTGCAAAATTAATCTTATCAGAAATAGCATTTTTACAGAACTGTTCACAGCTAAGTCTCTGGATCGCTAGGGAAATTTTTCTAATCATTACCTAACATCACCACCAGAGGGCAAAAGAGGGAAGCAGTGACCCGGCTAGATCTGTTTTAAATTGTGGACAAAAGGAACGGTAGAAAGCGCAAATGGTACTAAGTGAAATTTTAACATCTAGCTCAGACTTGAAACTAAAGAGTACCTGACAGACTGTACACGATGGACTAAAGCAAACTAAAGCTTCGGCTGCCATTTTGCACGTACTGAGGTAAACCAGAGGGCAGGAACCTGGTTCATTGGTGTTAATCTGTTGTTGAATCAGTGGTCCAAGTCATGACTTATTTGAGAAAATACAAGATACTAGTGCTTGCTTCCAGGACAAGCTGAGAAATCCTGGGCAAGGGAGTTTGGTAATTGATTCTTTATCTGTGCAACAGAGGGAGGGCTATGAAAACTATGTAAGACAGAAGGCAGAGCTTAGAACAGTGCCTAAAACAGCGGAAGTGTCTTGTCAAAATAATAACAAAAAAAAATTACTAGTTTTAGTCTAAAACTCAAAAGTTGTAGAGTGGGAGAACAAAGTAACTCGAACTATAGGCTAAACTTTTAAAACACATTTCACCAACCTGGGTGATGGCAAAAGAAGGCAGAGGCAAGATGACAGTTTGAGGACAGTCTAAGACACAGGACAAGTTCAAGGACAGCATAGGAGATACACACTTTTTTAAAAAAAGCACCAAATACCCACTTATTCTGCATTCCATAGTTAATATTCCTCTTTTGAAAACACATCTCTGCGAATTATTTGGAACAAGGCCGGGCTCTAGAGACTTATTTGCCAGCTATTATTGTTGTTACTAAAGCTTTTCTGTTTTATTTTTCTTTTAGAGCGGTGGGGACAACAAGATCCAGGGTCTTGTCCGTGCTGGGCAAGCCTACTATCAATGTGTTACCGGGGAAATTTAATCCCCGTAACAAATGAGTCACACCAGCTGCCCGGAAGACTTTGCCGAACGTCTGCGTTTGTGGGTAAAATGGCTCCATGAAATGTTTTTAAGATATGAAGTTAGGAAGTTGCCAATAAAAAAAAAATGTATTATTCACGAACGGCCGCTTCATGCAGTGTGCGCACCGGGTACAGCCCTGTCAGAGATGAATTTTACATGAAAACACTAGAAGCCAATCGAGGTCACTATAACGCCCCGGAAAGCCCGAACCTCAAAACTGGCTCTGCACGAACCCGGGTGACCAACGGCCTGGGAATACGGTGAGTGCACGGGGGCCAGCCGGGGAGACGACATATGAGGGATGAAGGCCATTCAGGGCGGCCCTGCCGCCGCCGCCTACCTCCGCCGGAGCCGAGGCCTGCGCCCAGGCGAGCCCTCCACTGGCCAGGCGACTCGCTGGGCAGGCCCGGCCCGGCCCGGCTTCACAAACAGCCCGCCGCGTCGCCAAGGCCGCCGCCGCCCCGCCCTCCCGGCCTGCCCGGCCCTCACCTTCTGGACGGCCTCCGCAGATCACGCTGAGTTCCGGCGCCGCGGCGAGCAGGGCCGAGAAGGCGGTCGCGGCCGCTGGGAGATTCCGGTGCGTTGAGCGCCTTCAAGGACTTCGTGATCAGCAGAACTCGGGAGCTGTGTGTCTCTGAGTCCAACACTGAGGAGAAGAGACATCCGCCCAGCCTGAAGCGGCTACTGAACGGTGAAGCGAGCGCTCGGGGCCGCCATTTTGTAACTCGAATATACCCCTCAGAACCAATCGGAGGAAAAAAAAAAGAGAGGGGACAAGCAACGCCCACGTCCAGCTACTGCGCAAGCGCGTCGGAGCCTCAGCTGCCCGCACCTCTTCCTACGGGCCGCTGGGTGTCACGCGGCGCATGCGCAAGCCCGCCCTGGAAACAGTCTCTGGGAGGACTGTCGGATCTCGCGCGTGCGCACTGGGAGCGCGGGTTGCGGGCTTGGAGCCAACGCCGCTGTCAGTGCGGTTAAGGCACGTTGGTCACGTGTCGACCGCCATCCCGGTTTGAGAAGGTTCGCGCGCCAATCGCTGCCGAGACACTGGCGGGAGGAGTTGTGGTCACTGACTTTGGAGGCCTCCGATGGTGTGGTGGGTGGCTGAGGAGGCAGGCGGTGAATCTGGGGGAGCACGAGGCGTGTGCAACGTGATTCTCACGTGGATGGGCCTTAAGGAGGGTGGATCTCAGTCTGCGGCTTGGAAGCTTCTGGTGGCTCTTCCCGACATGGAGCTGGAGAGCCCTGAGGGACGGATTCTGGAGGTCATCTGTCCCAATTGCTTGTCATAGACAGTCACAGATTTCCTCGTTGGGAACTGTAAAAGCGAAGTAAATTTGCCCAAAGCTGCACGACCAGTTAGAGCCCACAGGAGATGAATTCCCCAGAGGGAGTCAGCTGCGGGATGAACCACCTGCGTCCTGGATCAGGATTCGTGGGGTTTTTTTGTTTGTTTTGCTTTTAGTTGACTACAGCACTTTCAATCGGTTCGGTTGTTTAAAAAGGGATGCTAGTTGGTCTAATTCTTCAGATTAAGTTTTAAAGAGAATGTGAACCAGAATGTCAGACCCATCCTTAACCATCTAGAAACTGGTCTTAGAGAAACTAGCATTTCTCGAGCGATAGTTTCTAACTTTGGAGAGAGGAGAAAAGGGGTTCCCAGGAGAAATAAAATCCCATATTTTCGGAGTGTTCCATTCATCAATCGACAAGAACTGCAAAAGGAGACTAGCTGGCACAGTGTTAGAGTACTTGCCTAGCACATGGAAAGCCCTAAATTCAAGTCCCCCCAAATCCAGCAGAGTGTAAGAGAAAAGACCAGATTGCATTTAATGTAAACATTTGTTCTTGAGTCAACTGACTGCCAATTAAACTGTATTCTGAAGAATTGTATTGAACATGTGCAGATATTTTTCTTGTTATTCTCTACACATTTTCAACTATGTCATTGACATCCTATTTGGTAATATAAATATTCCAGAGATAATTTAAGTATCTGAAGTCAGTCAGGTCATGGGGATTTCCAGCTAAAGTCACAGTTACTGGAAGGACAAGAGGATGAACCCAGGCCAGCCAGAGTTAACAAGATCCTCTCTCATTAATACAGACCAGACCTACAATCACAACTCTTCAGACAGTTGAGGCAGGAAGATCAAAATTTTAAGGCCTAGTCTGGGCCACAGATAAAATTCAAATCCATGTTAAGAATGCCTGAGCAACTCTCAAAAAAAAAAAAATATATATATATATGCACACACACACACACACACAAAATGGCTGGCCACTTTAATCCCAGTACTTGAGAGTAAGAGGCAGATCTCTGAATTCCAGGCTAGCTTGATCTCCATAGTTCCAAGACAGCTGTCATCATATAAATAATGAGACCCTGTCTCAAAAACAAAAACACAAACAAAAAAAAAAAAAACAACCAAGTAAAGAAAAAGCAGAAAGGGTTGGGGATGTAGTTCAGAGGTAAAGCATCTGCCTAGAACCTATGAGGCCCTAGGTCGAACCCTAGTACTACAAAAACTGTAAATTGGAAGTACTACTCAGTATTGAGGAACAAAAACCTAGCTGAAAGACACATTCATTGGAGTGAGGTATCAGTGTAAAACCTGGCTGCATTCTTTCAGGTTATAGGCAGTTTTGGCAATCTAGGAACTGGGACAAGTTCAAGGCCATGTTGAGCTATCAGGTAAGATCCTTTCTCCAACAGTAAAACCTATAAGTAAAATACCTATGTGAATACTGTGCCATTTAATAGAAGAGACTTGAGCAGGCTGGAGAGATGGCTCAGTGTGTAAAAGCACTTGTTCTTTCAGAGGATCCAGGTTCAGTTCTCACAGCCCTCCATAACAGGATCCCGAGACCTCAACACAATGGACTCCATTGATGGCAGTGCCATTCACGCCATAAAATTTGGCAAACAGTACCACTTGCCAAAATGAAAACAATGACCAAATTCATCAAAGGTTTAGTGCTATAGTCTCTGAATGTACTAACCTTGCTTAACTGAAAGAGGTCAACCTAAAGTTTTTGTGCTTAGCTTACCCTGAGTAAGACTTTGGGCTACATTGGGCTTCAGTGAGGTCACTGGTCAGCTAATGAAGACTTTCTATTGGCTTAAACCCATATCTGAGCAGCAGTCTTCTCTGGTGGATACACAACACTGGAAGTTCAAAACCTTCGTACTCAAAATTAAGATTTGAAAAAGAGATAACTCATCTTAAGCGTTTGTGTCTACAGGTGTTGTGGACACACATAAGCATTAGGGGAACCCAGAATGTTAAACATAAGGTTGTCTCTTCAATGACATCCTTCAGGGCATCTCTTTGTGTTCCGTGTCCTGTGATTAAAGTCTGGGAATCTCCAAAAGCCCAACCAAGATAGGATGATTAAATTGCCCAGATGCTTCAGTAATGAAAATACGGATCTCCCTAACTCCAGGTAAAGAACCAAGACCCACTAAAGTGCTTGCTGATGGTGGCGGAAGTACAGAGTAAGTAGTACAAGAAGGTAGTTATAAATACCAGCTGAGGCCACGTGACCTTACAGAAAAGAGGTTTGTAACTGACACGAACATTTTTGTCCTGTTAGGAACATGTTTATGCATACAGTAAGCAGATATTGTGTTTTCTTCCATTTCTTTACCATGAAATGCAATATCTGTTGAGATAATGCCAGTAGTTATGTCTCATAAATCTATATTACTATATCTAAGGTATAAGACTAATAGTCATTCTTCTAAAGACTTTGCTCCCTAAGCCCTTGGGAGACCAGAACCTTACATTCAAGGTTGCAGATGCTAGGCATGGGAACTACACTGTTTTGTGTTTTCTTGGCTGGATTTTGGGTTTTGTTTTGTTTTTTTTCAGTTTATGTACTATGGCCCTGAGTATATAACTTGGTTTTGATTTTTATAGGATCTCACTTAAAGAGGCTTTGGACTTTTAAAGTGTTGGGATTTGTAAAGAGGTTTGGGGGTTTTAAGAAATAGTTATTTTATGTGTGTCTGTCTTGTGTCTGTGTACCACATTCATGCAGTGCCCTCAGAAGCCAGACAAGTATGTCAGATCTCCTGAAAGTCAAGTTATAAACTGTTAGGAGACATACATTTGTTTCCACTCCCAAATTATTACTTTAATAAATACTTTTAAATTTTATGTATATGTTTGTTTGTAGTTTTTTTTTGTCTGACTATATGTCTATATACCACAAATATGCCTGGTACCCCTGGAAGCCAGAAGGTGTCAGGTTAGAGCCTCTGCAACTGGAGTTACAGATAATTGTGAGTTGCCATGTGGGTTCTGGGGATTGAACCCAGGTCCTCTGAAAAAGCAGCAGTGCTCTTGACCTTTGACCCATCATTAGCTCTGCTTTAGGGACTTTTAAAAAGCTGGACTACATTGTACGTTATAAAGTAAACATGAGACTTTGGAGACTAGAGGCGAAAGTTATGGTTTTAAAGTGCTGTGTGTGTCTATGAATTTGACACAACATAGCATCCCCTGGGGAGAAAGCCACAGTGAAGGCTCACCAACAGCATGTTCACCTGGTGGCAAATCCATGGGGGGATTGTCTTGACTGTCTTAACTGTTAGGGGAAGATCCACCCTAAATATGGGAGGGACCTTCTGTTAGTGCTCAGATAAAACAACTGAAAGCCAGAGAGTTTTGCTCTTTTGCCTGCTTGACCTTCACTCTCAATGCCAAGTTCATCTATTCTGTTGCTGCTGATGATCGTTTAGCTGACTTTAGGACCAGCTTTTCAGGCTTCCAGTGTTGATGGAAGGCCCGAAGCACCTTAGGAATCCTCCAGGCCTTCAACTCCAATGTAGGACTGCTGAGATAGTTACCCAGCCTTTGGGCCTGAGCAGATACCAGGTTCTTGGTCTTTGCAGTGTGAGACAACTGTTCTTGAACTACTCAGACCACATTGTGTAAGCTAATAAATCTCATCTTACCATATATCCATCCTTTCAGCTCCCTTTCTCTAGAGAGCCCTAAGATTGTGCACCCCTGTGCAAGGCTCAGCTCCTCCCCCTTTTACTCTGTGTAGTGCCTGGCTCTGAGTGGACAAATGTGACAAGTCTTCCCCTACTTGTCTTGACTTAGTCTCTTATTTATACAAGCTACCTAAATGGAGAGAAGTAACTTCCCCAGCCCCTGAGTACTCAACTTTTGAGCTATGTCTTCTGTCCCAGAATACATGAGTTTTGGGTATGAACTTTGTAGACGACAGTATGTCACAATGTCAGAAGATTGGATGCTCCTAAAAGGAGAGGCTGAAGACAAAAGGGAGGAGACACTAAAGGTGAGTTCTTGAGAAGGTAGGAGAGGTTGAAGACCGAGCATTTCCTTAGGAGAAAGGATGGGAGAAGTTTGGGTGCTCCAGGAACATGAGAGCTGCCACATTTCTTCCTTGATGCCACTGTTCCACGGCTCTGCTCATTTCATCTTGGCACATGCTGTTCTTCCTCATGCCAGACACTGGTATGGGCTTGTGATAGACGTGAGAATGAACCTTGAGACTCACGAAGAGGGTGAACTCTGGACTAAACCATAGCATTCAGTTCCAGGAAGGAGGGAACAATGTGATTCCACAGAGGAGGGAACAGAGGCAACCTCTCACTTTAAAAGAGACAGTGGGGTTGGAGAACCCAGAAAAAGGATCCCGGGGGCTGTGCTGTTTGTTCATGGTG